TCCCACGTCCCTTATGCCCGTGCTGTCTTGCGTTTGCCGGGAGTCCCGCGCTTCTAGCCGGTCCTGCCCACCCACCCGGTCCAGTGCGCCCCTCTCTCCTCGCGGCGTATCCTCACGCTCCACCCCTCCCGGTTCTCCAGCCGCAAGCTTCCCCGGCTGCCCTCTTGCGCGGCCGCTTCCTTCTCTCCCTGCCAGGAGTTGAAGAGGAGCTGCGGCACCCCCGGGCGGATAGAGTGTCCCTGCCCTCCGCTGGCGCTGCCCACCCCTCTCTCTTTTCCCCTCTACCCGGGAAGCGAGGGGCTGAGCGGCTGGGCCGAAATTTGGCTGCGTGTTGGCTGAGTGCGACAAACTGCGCGAGCGGGCAGTAGGGGCGCCGCGGCGGCCGTGGCCGCGCGGGGCGCAGCAGTAAGCAGGTGTGTGTGTCCGGGGGGGACGCGCACCGCGGGCTCTTCGGCTGGCGACAGATTGTGCAGGAATGCGAGGAATGCACCGGGAGCGTAGTCCACGCGGCCCGCCGCGGCAGAACTAGAGCCTTCCCTAGCCCAGCTCTCGCTGAGCAGCCAGAGGTCACCGGAGCATCTTCGGAGCTGGTGAGCCTCTCTCCACTCCTCTCCTCCCCTGGCTTTTCTCCATGCGGCAGAGGGCGGCGGAGGGGAAGCGCGGCAGTTCTGTCGGGCTTCAGCTGGTCTTTCGTCTGGGATTTTGCTGCATTGGTCTCCAGGACCGTGAATTTCGTGCCGATGGCGGTATAGCCAAGGTTATTGATAATCGCACAAGGTTCTTGGCAAGTTTGGTTTGCAAGGTTTAAATAGTGCCTGGATTTTACGAGTTGGTTTTTTTTTTTTTTTTTTTTTTGATCTGCAGGAAAGGGTGCCTAAGGTTCTTTGAGTAATAAGCTTGCAGCCAACATATTTTGGCTCTATCAAAAAATGTCTGTTAATGTTCATGGACGGGGATGTTCTTCAGTAGATAACTTGAATGCATCACTTTGCTGTCATAAAAATTGTAATTTTTTTCTCGAAAATGGTAATTTTTTTTCTCGCATACTGGACTGTTTAGACCTCTTACAATCCGTGATGAATAGAAACAGAGAAGCAGTGTTTGGTCAGCGATGGGACAGATAGGACTGTCTGGTACAGTTAAATTCGGGGCGTGTCAGTTACCATTGGAAGTAACGGGGTACTACAGATGATGTATATTTTAAGATGTAATTTATTAGTTGAGGTCGCAGTTCCTTCTCTTTTTTTGGCACCGAGTTTGAACGTAAAATAAAAATACAGGTCTACGACTTTTAAATAATGGTGATGATTTATGTGTAAAATCCAAAATGATTATAGTTTTGGTCAAATTTATTTTCCTTAATGCAGAAAAGCAAATTTTTGACAGAAGCTGCTTTGCTAGAACAGGGCTTAGATTGTCTTATTTTAAAAGATAAAGTAGAAGACCACTTCTCTTTTTGAATGTAGTGTATTGCTGTAGGAAGTATTTATTTTCCTTCCTGGTACCAGTGAAACAGTTACGGAAAATGGTAGCATTCTTGCCTTCTCAACGACATGAGAACAGTTGATGGCCAAAATAAGTATTTCTGGATTTCAAAAAGTATCCTGTGTGTGCTTTTATGTGACACAGTTTGCTTTGGAGGTTGAATTTACTATAAGCCCCCATGTTTAGCTATTTTGTATCAGATTCAGGAAAATAGTTGATGGTCCAGCTGTCTGCTAACACCTTCTGTGTAGGGATCAAGGACATTGAAAAGTATAAAATGAGAGCCTTTTATTTGGTTAAGGACCCAACGGGAGAGGAAAAAGAGGAAAAAAAAAAACTTTGTGCTGGATAAGGTTGTGTCTTTCTGCTGCTACATTGTTTTCTAGGTATGGTCATAGTAAGTGGGCCTTCTAATTTGGAGGTTTAGCTCTAAATTAGAGTTAGTAACACTGTGTTGGATATTGGGAAGTGTTTGGAGAGGTGAACAGGAAACTTATTATGTAACACTCCTCACAGCAGAGTTTAACACGTGCATATTTGATGTGATATGAATATATTAGAAAGTAAAAGCACATTTAATTTCTCTACTACATTAGAAATTGAAATAGCCCATGCAGGTATATAGAAAATGTGTATATACATTCATATCTATGATTGGCTGTACAAATAGTTTTACATGCTTCAGGGTAGGCTTTCAGTTAGAATTATAGTCTATTTGTTATTGACATTTGAAGAGAAGAAGTTTTAAAATTGGTTATCGTTCACAATAAAATAACAAACTATTTCAATCATTGCCTCCCCAACTACCGCTATTATATAAGAGAAAGTGCTGTATTTCATGTCTTATATGTTATATAGAAGATTCTAAATTGGGGGACAAATGTCCAGTTATCTTAATTCTTACCCATGTTGTTTTTGGAAGGAAATAGATGACCAAGGTAGTGATTGAAAGCACGAGTAGGAGAAGGTAAGCAGAAAGTAGGAGCAGTTGGCATTCATCCAGAAGTGGGGATAAAAGGCTACTGCTGCATATACAAGCTGAATAAACCAAATCTAATTCTATCAGTGGTTCTGACATCATTTCAATTTCAGGAAACTACTACCAAACTCAGTTCAACAGGAACTTTAGCAATTTTATAACCTTGAGTATTTGGATTGTCTGTGTTAAGTCAGAGTTAACAATTTTCTTTCCTTTCTATACAAATTGGGAAAGGGATTTTAGTTTAAAGCTCTTAAATTTGCTTAATTTTTAAAAATCCAATTATTGTCAGTTTTCAAACTTGAGTTATTTCCTTGTTGTTGACCAGGGGTTGATTTAAATAGAGAATTTCCATACCCTGGATGATGCCAATCATTTACGTCCAGTGCCTCACCTTACTGCTTTGAAATATTAAGGTATTTTGAAATTGCTCCATAAGCTTTTTTTTTTTTTTCAGTCAAGAGGGATGTCCCTAATTTGCTTCATTCTAAAGTGGCTATTATTGCTTCCTTTTTGAGTGAAAGATGAAGTAGAGGTTATCCAAGGGTTCTTCTAGGGATTAAACATTCATGGAATTGTATGTCACTTTGGGAAGTTACCTTCACACCTTCAGTGTACTGGGAAATAATTACTTCCTCAATGTGTTAAATGGTTTTGTAGTGTCTTTCCTTCAATGAAGAGGGGGGAAAAAAATCTAATTCATAACACCACTGAACTGGATATGTTGGCAGTACCCAGTAACTATTTCATGCCCAAACTGTAACTACAGATAGCTGCAAATAGGTAAGACAGACAGACAAAGTGAAACTTTAAGTATACCTGGGTATAAGACTTGGGATACTGCCAATAAGTGATGATAACAGTTAGCAAATCAATTTGATGCCCAGCAGTGGAAAATAACAAGTTTCTTTTAGGGTAAGGGGATCAGGCCCTGAGTCACAAACAGCAATGATTTATGTGTTTGCTGGTTGCAGTTGAGAAGTTGTATGTATGTCATTCAAAAGTTGCTCCCTCTGTCACTTCAGTAATTCAGTGGAATTATGTTGATCATTTGGAGGCTGTGTTGCCATAACTAAATTGGGGACATTACATGATGGTGCTCTTCGTATAAATTTAGAATGCTACAGACATTCCATTTGTCATTGATCTGAGGTGGGTTTTTTTAATATATAATTTAGATTTATTTGATATACCAGTAAGTGTTGGCTACATTGCAGATCATCTCATTATTCATAGTCTTAATAATATTATAGTTTATTATGACTCCTATATAGTGATGCAATGATTCATTGCAAATGATAAAATATCATTAGAAATTAAACTAAATCTTTAATACTATAAAATATATAAATTAAAATATGGAAGTATTTGAATTATTTTAAGTCATGTCACGGTGAAGCATTTTTCATGAAACGAATAACGCCTGAGGATTGGTTAGATGCCATTCTCTGAAGGACAGTATATCATATAGCCCTCACAGAGTCCAGAACTCACAAATTAAGTGTGGAGAGAGAGAGGATCAAAGGAATCAGTAACCCTTTTTTCATCAACAAGCAAGGCATGTTTAACTTCTATAATTGTTGCTTTATTCAATATGAGTTTAGTGAGTTACAGATATCCAAGGATGTTTATTCTACTCTTCCCGAATCTGCATCCCTGTCCTTTCTCCCCACAACACACATACCGCCACCACCACCAGCAATGCATCTGCCTGCTTGGAGAGCCAGAAAAAGCCCCCTTTCAAGAGCCACTTATATAGAATATAGAAATTGGTGCCTAGCGTTGTAGGTTGAATTTAGAGCAGATGTGCATTTTTGTCATAAAAATGATATTATATATGAATGCAAAAGGTAAAATGTGAGGTTGAAGGTGGGCTATCAGTGTACTGTGCAGGTTTTGGGGGCTGGCCTAGAACTTTGAATACAGTGTTTTATGGTCACGTACAGCCCATTACAAATAGACTTTTAGAACACTGGATAGGTGGTATCTGAAACTCTGGTCCACTGTAAGCTCTCTCTTTAATTGCAACCATGAAAAGGAGGTGAAAAGCACCCTGAGCCAGGAACTAGAAGATCTGCCATTAAACTGTATAACCTTGACAAACCA